CTGCAAGCGAACGAAAAAACCAGTTTGCAGTCTCTTACCGTTTTTTGATAAAATAGTTTTGAAAATCCCTATTGCAACGGATACTTTTCATAAACAATGAACTGTTCTGGTTAGTGAATGATGAAGGAAGAGTGAAATAATTGCATATTTAATGCATAATTCAGAAACGCATAAAATAATTTGATCTGCTTTTGTCTGTTAGTTAAAAAAAATGTCGATAGTACTTTTATGACACATCCTGTATAATGGAAAATTGTTTTATCATATGCAAATTGCAATATACATTGGTACCTCGATATACGAGTGTTTTGAGATACGAGCCGCCGAACGAGCGATGCATTACACATTAAGACAGTGGTTTCCAAATTTTTCGTGCCTGCGCCCCCCTTAAAAAAAAGTTGTTGCGCCCCCTTAAATTTTCCAACAAGCTAATTTCATAAATACTCAACTGATATTATAATTTATTTAATGGGCTACAAAATAACATTCAATATTATGTAAAAATATACATAACAAAATTATTATTTATTATAAGAAATAATAATTTTCAATGTAATAAACCTATTCGACTTTTTTGGTTTGTATTCGAAAATTATATTTGGGAAACAGCTGCATGTCTTGCGCCCCTCTAGGAGGGCGCGCTCCACATGTTGGAAACCACTGCATTAAGAAAAACTTAACAACATTGATGGTACAAATTTCAGATATAAAGTAAGCATTATTCTAACAAAAAATCACCCCGAAAAAGTTGCAACTGGTCCTGCATCGGAGTTGTTCAACGAAACTTGATTAACTTATTTCCGCAAAATCCTGAAATGGAAGAAGAAACAAACCTCCGCGGACAGTTTTTAAACCATCTGCAGGTGGAAATGGGTAAAGCGTGACGAAAAAAGCGAAGAGCACTGACGAAAATTAAGTTTTGCGTTAAAGTTATTCCGTAAGCACTTGACTTTTTCTTTTACTATGTTTTTATAGAAAATGTATTTGTTATTTATAAATAAATGTTTCTTCTTGTAAATACATTTTTCTTATTCAAAAACATTTAACAAAAACAACTTAGTTGGTTTTTTTGGGAGCTGGAATGGACTAATGGTATTTCAATTAATTTCAATGGGGAAAATTGCTTTGAGGTACGAGCAAAGTTACGAAACGAATTAAACTCCTCGAGGTACCATTGTATTAGGAAAACCCGGTATTTTTAATTTTCGGTTATCTCTATATATTTTAAACTCAAGCGAACTAGTTCATACGATAGTATTGATACTCGTTATGGACTGTGCTATATTGATACTTGCTTAAAGTTCCTAAGAGAATGATATTTTGTGTCATTTTAATTTTTCTGGGCCCAGATGTTACTTAATTACTTAATTGAATATATTTTCTTTCTTCCTAAATGTTCTGATTTTATATCTGAGTTTATGCTTTTGATGCTTATAAAATCTTATAAAGTTTACTTAACTTATATTTATCCGCGAATTTGATCCACGCTGAATACGTAGGTAGAAACGGATTTTTCTCTCTATTAACTCAGAGAAACAGTAGATTCGATGTTATCATTAATAAACGTTATTTGTATATCGTCATTATGATGTCACTTCTCCTTTAAGCCAGCTATTCATTCCAGTTTTTCGGTTCATTTCATCACTCGCATCATCGTTACCATAGTGAACGATTATTTCATGCTGCTCGGAACAAATGCCTGTTGGTTGGTTGATATTTATATTTTAAATTAGCATATTGATTACCTAATGCTATTGATTTCCACTAAACACGCTACTATATTAGCTTTGTATTTCGAGATAAACAAACAAGGTATTTCCTTTTTTTATATAAATTAAGGTCACTTCCATTGAACATTTTACCGCAATTTTGGTTAAAAAAATAGGTACCTAATTGTTGTAAGTACCATCTTTCATTTGAATTATGAAAAATTAAAGTTCGCGGATGTTCCGGTTTATTATTGTTTGCAACCTATTTGGATTTTATCAAGGATAATTCTACCTACTACAGCCGTGTCTTTCGTTTCAAATTCTTAATTATTTATTGAATGTCGACTTTTAGCGAAATTTTCAGTAGATACAGAAAAACAGTTTCAAAGTAACGATTTAGAACTGGTAAGTAGGAACGTATAATTTAACTTTTATTTATTTTTCAACTATCACACATATAAGATCGTTTACATCATTTTATCAGTTACAAAAATAACAAATCTTGGTAGGTAGTAACAAATAATTTCATTTAACAGCTCAGGCGTACTCAATTAAAACAAATATCGTGATAGAATTCGCATACATGGTATTTCGTTAAAATCTTAAAAAAAGGTACATCTTAATTTACTTCGCTCAGGCGCACCATTTTCCCACTAAATGACTTTAAAAATATTACTGCTATCCATACACATTTAATATTTTAAGTGAATATTATTGCAGTTCAATTTTCTTTACGAAGTCAGAAAAATAAATCACAATAAAGTTAAAATTATTATCGACACTAATTTACTGGAGTAAATATTAAAACAAATTTCCATTTTCTTGAATGCGCACTCTGGACCTTTTCCTAGTATGTTGGGTGGCACGGAGGATTTCAAAAGGGGTTTGTTTTATTTGATTTCCGCCCGCGCAAATCCGCCTGAGAAGCTCTTCTGGGCTTTCTACTTCTGTGGCATAAATAATATTGGACATATTAACAGGCAGATAATAATCCAAAGGATTTAGATCAGGCGATCGAGCTGGCCAGTTTACTGGGCCACCTCGACCTATCCACCTGCTTCGAAAATGTTGGTTTAGCCAATTTCTCACAGGTTGGCCAAAGTGGGCTGGATCCCCATCATGCCGGAGGAATATTTCTAACCGAATGCTTATAAGAATATCCTGTAGCAATTCTTGTAGATCATGATGTAGAAAATTTAAATAATAATGGGTATTTAACCTATTTGGTAAAATAATCGGACCCAGCAAGATATCCCCTTTGACACCTGTTCATACATTGAAATAGCACATATGTTGAAATTTTGCCTTTCGAATAGCTCTCGAATTCTCGAGGCTCCAAAAATGAATATTATCCCATCCATAAAAAAATATGTTGGTGGCTTAGAATTCAACGGCAAAATTCTGTACGAGTTGGAAAATCGTTGACTCTTAAATCATGTACCCTTTTATAATGGAAATGATGCAATCCTTGTTTTTGAGTCATTCTTCCGATATGAAAATATGTTTTAAATTAAATCATGTGTTGTATGGCCTCGTGCAATATTTTATTTGTTTTATCCTTTATTATTTTTTTAGAAATTAAAAAAATTGCACGAAGACATTCACTAGTTTTTTCATACTCAATAAAAGTCAAAATGCTTACAATGGATTTAGGGATATTAGTAATATTTCTATAAAGCAGTGATATTTTTTAAGTCATTTAGTTGGTAAACGATGCGTCTGAGCGAAGTAAATTAAGAGTTCCTTTTCTTCGTAAAGTACTTCAGATTTCCACAAATTGTAGAAAAAAGATTGATTTATAGTATCAGAAAAAAGTTAAAGCTTTTTTGTACTTCTACCCCCATTTTTAATTTCAGATCTAGATTCAGCGTATCAAAATTACTAAAGTTCCTAAAACTTACGTTTTCAAGTTCAACCGTTAAGAAATAATTTTGCAAAAAAACCCTACTACTGGGCCCTTCTTCAAGAAGGCGTAGCTCCGCTAGGGAGCATTTTTCGATACATGTTTATTTGAAAGATTAATATTATGTTTGAGAGCAGATTTTACTGTTTCAGTTTGGCCACCTAATTTCGGGACACCCTGTATTTTACTAGTCCTAAACCTAAAAGTTGGTTAAACTCAGATGAAGAGAGCTAGTGGGCTTGAAACCCAGTTTTTTTATACATCAATAATTTTACTACTTATTATTCATTAGCTTATATAATTTAACTGATCAAGCCAAGGAGACATTTTTTCGTAAAAAAATACTATATGATAAAAGTT